TTTAAAAATCCACAGCATTGTTGCTACCAAACAGTAATTTTTCAGTTCTAAGTCTGCAGCCCATTGGTGGACTGCTATATACATTGCACCCTAAATAAAATAAAGGAAGGAAATTAAATGCCATTGGCACACAGTTTTCAGAGCAAACAGTGTTTAATTTTCAGGGAGTCCCAATTAGTTGATAATTACATCCCTCCTTGACATGCAGAAGGCAGACAGGGTCCCCCACTTCTCTTTCCAAATATAGGTCCATGAAACCAAAGGTCACCCAAGTCTTTCTGTCATAAGAGAGTGAAATCTCAAAAGTGCCCCTTCCTACAATTATTACATAGCCAATAATGTGCTGCCCTGTCCAAATAAGGTGTCATCTCTCTCTAGCTAATTGTTTCTCAACCTTGGCCACTTGAAGATGTGTGGACTACAACTCCTAGAATTGTCCAGCCAGCATGCTGGCTGGGGAATTCTGGGAGTTGAAGTCCCCACATCTTCAAGTGGCCAAGGTTGGGAAACACTGCTCTAGCTAATTGTTGAGCCAGCCTGCTCCCAGCTGATCATGCCCCCCCAATTTTTTTTCTCCTCCCATGTTCAGCACAGCTGCATTAGTGTGAAAATGCAGCACGCCTTTCTGCTGGCCTCCTAGGGGGCAGTTACAATGAAAGAAAGCAATGTTCTGATTCTGTCCCTTAGGCAGAGAGCTTTGGTTCTCACTTCACATTTGTTCATGCGTGGAAACCTGGAATCATCAAACGTCTCTTCTTCAATGTCCCATAATGAGCCCCAAACTGTACAGTTTTGTTAGCAATAATTCTTCAGGGTTTTAGAAAACTCTGCTACCTCCAAAACCTTTTTTAATTATTAGCAAATACACGTATCTTATCAGCGAATGCACGATACTTGACTCCTGGAGACTACATGGACATGTCCATGCAGGTTTTTTGGTGACAGTTTCAGAGGTAACTTCCTGTTTCTGACTGGTCTAAGTCAGCGCTAAAATTCAAGGTCTCCCAATCTCTAATCCAGTGGAACTATACCAAAGAGGGTCTCATAAATACAATTTTTATATAGTTATATGTAAATATCAATATATAAATATTCTAGTGGAAAAATACTTCAGAAGGGGCTGAGAGGAAGGATAGACAGACAATGGGAGAGACCCCAATCCACATGAAGAATCTGAATGCTCCAAAAATTTATCCATACTTATAAACTCACAGTTAGCCAGGTAAAAATTCAGTAAATAAAATAATACAAACAAACGTTCTCAGTAACATTCTTAGAATAACTGAGAATAAAGTGATAATCTTGGGTATATAAGAAATGGGACACAAAATGTTGTACATGGTTTCCAATTAATTTTAAACAAATCTCATATTTGATAACTTTCTTATAAATAACATATTTGACCATTGCAACAGCAAATCACATTTTAACACTCCATTTCTCTAAGTTTTATTAGTTGTTTCCATTATTTACTAACCAAGCAAAGGCTGGGAGGTATGCTGCCAATCCTGAAGGTTCTGAGTTTTAATGCATTTGTTGTACATGTTAATTAAAAAAAAATAGAATATCTAAACAGTGGGCCACCTTATACCCTTTTTTTTTGCGCGTGTGCTCTCTCTCTCTCTCTCTCTCACACACACACACACACCCCAACATTACAAGAAGCCAGATCCACTGAGCATGGCAAAAGTCTCCCATCTTGCCTGATTTTTGCAGGCCAGCAATCTGAACAACATAAAGTTGGGACAACCGATCATGGGTTAGGGTGGCCTTGTTGACTTTAGACAGTCTTGCCTTTTAATTGAAGATTCTGGGAACTTTATCTAAGATTTTCCTGCAATAAATTGTCTGCCCCTGAGTCAAAAGCCCTCCTACAGCTGAAGTGATAACATGTTGGTTTACAGTTGGGTTTTCTGATATACTTGGTTACTTCATATTCTGGCTCTAAAAGATAATACGGGTGCCTTCTAAGAATAGAAACCCTGCAGAACTCACCCAACATCTCTGCCATGACTTCATGTATAGAACTGATCCAGGAAACTAAAAGAAGATTAAAAGATCCTCTTTTCCTTCTTTCTTCATAGCAAGAATACATTTTGGTAGCAGCTCCAAAATTGTACTTCTCAACCTATTTGTTTAAAAATCCCCCAGAAAGTTTTCCTTCTGGTCTTTCATGAGAATCTAAAACTAGTCTTACCATCCAGTTGGTCTGCCCATTACCCATGCTTATTGCAGTTCTACATTTTGGAGGGGAGCAGAGGTAGATTTTAAAATTAAATTGGGGTGGCTATTCTTTCTTAGTTCAACCCTCTTGTTAACTGTATGAAACAAACATTCAACAGCCATTGGGAGGAGGGACAGTAAGCTGTTTGCTCTCTGATTGAGACAAAAAAGAGGCTTGTATGAGAGGAAAACCTTTCCCCTAGAAAACAATTATTTAGTCAGTGACTAGGCAATTTTATAAAGGCCCCAGACAGATGCTTGCTGACTCTTGAACTATGTTTTGAACCTGCCTCTTCACCTAACCATCACTCTTTTATGAAACTCACAATTTTTTAAAAAGAAAGCATTCCTAGAAAACAGGATTTACTTTTATTTTTTTATATATAAGCCCCCCCCACCCCCCTAGGCAAAAGATCAGGCCTTGCGCTTCCAGAGATGCCAAGATGAAGTATAGTTTCAAATTCACCCATGCCATGTGGAAGGAATGTGACTAATGCTGGCAGATCTATAGCCTAATCAAGTTAAGGAAAAACATAGATTGTACAATAATGTGTTTTGTGCTGTGGTTGTGCAACCATCACAATTGCATGGATTTGCCCCAAGAAGAGTTACTGTCTGTTTGAACTCTCAGCGGGCATCTATCTTCCGAAAACATGTACTTGTAAATTTCATCTGCGTCTCTAAGGGAATTTCTCATCCTATCCTTGGAATGAAGGACGAAGAATGGAAGACTCTAGTCCTTGGTTTTTCTCCCTTTTCCTAATGAAATAAGCTTGAGGGCAACGCTAAAACATCTTGGCATGCAAAGATCAGCTTGTTGTGCTGTTTCTGATGTGCTGTCCTTGCTCAGAGAACAGATAAACGATTCCAGCTTCCTGGGGAAAATTAGCTGAAACTCTTTTGTAATCAGGATCAAAGGTTGGATCCAGCTTTTATTGCAACCAGTGTTTGACTTGAAAATAATTGAGATTGTGTTCCTAAATCACTGATTTTGAATCCAAAGAAATTGTTAGCTAAATCAAAGTTCACACTTGCTAAGGGACCCAACAGTCTTATCACTATTCTGGTTTTGCACAAATCACTGTAAAGAAAGAGGGAGCCCCAGTTCCTAAATTTTCATATCCATGCATTGCTGTAAATGCTCCATGGCCCTAACCTAGCTCTCATTCATACATGTGCAGATGTTGATGCCGGTAGTGTCATATGGGATTATTGGAAGGGAGAATGAGCATAAACCATGGCAATCCAATCGGTCATTTTGATTATGTGTCATCAAGTCATTTTTCACTCCTAGCGACCATACAGATAGATCTTCTCCGTGAAGATACTGAATAGTTAAATGATATATATGCAGGTATGGATCTGATGAGCTGTAAGAGATTTCTGCACTCTGGGCAATCAGACTGACCTTTGCTATTTGTAAGAAATGCTTTGGCGATATAGCTTATGTTAGTCTTGGCTATATGCATTACCTGTTCTTAGAATCATGTTTGGGAATCCTGCCATCCCATTAACTCACAATCAATACAGCCTGCACTTTCTCAAATTTCAAAAAGCATCTGACAAAAGTCCTTGAGGAAAAGATCCTGCCACATCTCAAATCTATACAAT